ACACCTCCGTCTGTTCTGAAATGGAATGCTTCAGTCATGACCGAGACCCATGCCTGTGTCCTAGCTCAGTACCCAGAAAGTTCAGTCCTCTTAACCAAAGCTTCTGCCTTGGGGCCAGGAAACTTGGGGTGCCTTAGTGTGTGGCTGTATGATCAACCCATCTCAAGCACCTGACGTAGCAACCTCTCTGTTGCTTTATATTGACTGTAATTTTAATTTTCTGATTTTAAGTATGCCTTAGTGTTACATCTTTCCTCCTTCCTTTTTTTTTTTTTAGTCATCTGCTTATAAGTCGTAAATAGGCTCTGTAAATACTAACCAGAAAGAATGTAACACAAATTTGGCCATAGGGTGGCTTCATTGTTACAGTTTCCATTTGGGAAGGAGGTAAAGCTTTTTGTCATATTTCTTCTGAAGCTTACAAGGTAAGCAAAGACAAAGACAACCAAATAAGGAAATCAATCATTTTAGGTAACAGAAAAAAAAGTTCTTTTTCTTTTTTTTTTGAGATAGAGTTTCACTCTTTGTCGCCCAGGCTGGAGTGCAGTGGCACGATTTCCGCTCATTGCAATTTCCGCCTCCCGGGTTCAAGTGATTCTTTCATCTCAGCCTCCCAAGTAGCTGGGATTAGAGGCGCCCACCACCACGCCTGGCTAATTTTTATATCTTTAGTAGAGACAGGGTTTCACCATGTTGACCAGGCTGGTCTCGAACTCCTGACCTCAGGTGATCTGCCTGCTTTAGCCTCACAGGGTGCTGGGATTACAGGTGTGAGCCACTGTGCCTGGATGAAAAATTCTTGAGAATGGTTTTTGATGAAATTACAGTCACGGCATTTATCAGTTTCTTATAAAAGTTCTCTTCGGCATTTACAATCTATGTGTCTTTAAGATAGGCAGAATTATACCCAGCTACATGCTACAACATGGATGAGCTTGAGGACATTATACTAAGTAAAATTCTGCTAAGCCAATTGCAAAAGGACAAATACTGTATGATTCTACTTGTACGAGGCTCTTGGAGTAGGCAAATTCATAGAGACAGAAAGCGGAGTGGTGGATGCCAGGCCCTGGGGGAGGAACAATAAGGAGGTGCTGTTTAGGAGGACTGAGTTTCTATTTGGAATGAGGGAAAAGCCGTGGAGATGGAAAGTGAAGACCGCCATAGGACACTGTGACTGTGCCTGACACCACTGAATTGCACACTTAAAAATGGCTACAACTGTCAATTTCATTCTACATGTATTAAAAAGTCCCCCCCCCGCCTCCAAAATTGTGGCTGGCCTGTCCATCAACAAAATGTCTTTATTCCTTAATTATGACATTCATAGGCTGACCACTTCTTTTCTTACGGTTCTGTTTCTTATACCAGCGAACCCCCTAAATGCCAAGTCGGCTTTCCTTCAAACTGTATCATGTATGTGTCAAATGAGATCTCACGCGAAGGTCTTCATGCTCAGTTTCATTATAAGTGTACCTCTCCTCCCCGCAGTGAAGGAGACAGTGCTAGTTCCCTTATTTCATTTTCAGTTCCGTTAGGAAAGTTTGCATAAACATGCACATGTAATCAGTTATGCATGGTGAGCCATAATGAGCTTGGGGGCAGAGAAAGTCAATGGTTTTGCTGTTGTAAGAATGTGTGGTGTTAATAGGTCACAACCTATCTGTTAAGTAATTAACATACTGTAGGATTATAAGAAAAGGTAATAAGAAAAACAAGGCCCTCTCTTCCCTCATGTCGGCAATCTTTCAAAAGAGGAATCTTTATTGAATTTGTCTTTTCTTAAACGAATTCTGCTCTGTGGCCTAGTTCCTTTTATTCTGCAAACCATTCTCAACCACATCTGTGGAATTCTGTATCAGCGATTGTGAAGCCAGCTGTTGCTGAGAGTCTTTTACTTAAGTTGAAATTAAGAACAGATTTGAGGGTCGTCTACCTGCTGTGAAGTCCTGATGGAGTTACCAAAAACTGCAAATGGTGAGAAAATGTGACTGCCATTGCTTGAACCGTCAGTATGTTTTCTACAAAGCTTTCGCCTCCCTTGCAGAAATAGCCTTACTCTGTGATCCAAGTTTGTTATTTGTTAATGTCATCTTTAGTGTTCTTCAAAATGTATGCACAAAATCAGTAAGAGAAAAATCTGTGTTGCAATAACAATAGTGTATGGGTCAGCAAGCGTTTTTTTTTTTTTTTTTTTTTTTTTTTTTTCTGTGTGGAAAACAAGGACAGATTGTTAACAATGCTGGTTCCGTGGGAAAGTTCTTAAGATTTCTGCCACTGTGAAAATGAGTAAAGCGTTCTCTGTCCCGCACATATGGGTCCATTTTGCACCCAATCTCGGGGTGATGCATTGCGAATTATTCAGCAAACTAAAAATTCAGGCACAATTGTATGTTGAAGGCATCTTAGACTTGAATACAGAAGAGGGAGGAAGACATTTTCACAAAAGTGTTTCAAGCAATGTGCAAGTCTCAAGCATGATTAAACCTAAGCCACTGTCAGTTTGACCTCCAGTTATCCTGTAAATAAAAGACCCCACAGGGATAGCTTGGTAAGAAGCTATCTCAGTGCAAACATGGGAAACTCTGGGTGAAGATCACATTCGAGGTGATTTCTTTGGTGTGCACGCGTGTGTGTGTGGGTGTGTGTTTGTAAGAAATGTGTGTGAGAACTGAGACAATCTCCTAAATTAAGATTACAAATATTCTGTTAGGTAAGTTTAGATTCAAGCAGTCTGAAACCACTTCATAAAAGACTGTATTTAAAAAATCGTAATTTTGCCACACCATCCACAAAGGGGATTATCCTGTGTTAAATTTCATATTGATACATCCTTGCTCACAGGCTATTTCTTCCTCCTCCATATTCAAATGCAGTATAGTCTCTGAACTGTTTAGTTCCATGAAAAGAAAAGATTTTAGGGAAAGAAAAATCCAGCACATTAGGATTAGTGTAATATTTTTGAAACCATCAGTGATTAAATAGTCAATTTCCATTTATACACAAAATACTTACCTACTCGAAACAATACAAAGGCAATGAACAGCTGTACTCCTCCTAAAACAGTCTTTATGTAGGAACACTTGTTGATAATTTAAAGAAAATTTATCCCTAATCTACTCTGAAATCTCTAAATTTAAGTTGGTTCAGAAAACAAAAGATTACTCCTTAACTTAGTTGCATAATATAATTCTTTCTCAGATATAATTTAGAAAATCCTAATACATTTACACAAATAGGATTAATTATTATTTACTAATGAGTGGCACACCCAGCTGTCCAATCAAAGCACTTACATTTTTGAGCATGAATATTTAATACACATTTTTTAGTTTGTCTTAGATTTTATGCTATAGTATAGAGAGTTTCACTTCCAGCTTTCAGGCACTCAAGGCCTATTTTTTGGCGGGGTCGGGGGCGGCAGGAGTTCTTTCTGGTTTTAACTCCGAACCATTTTTTTTTAATGGAAGTCCTCAAGAAACTTTCTAATCTAAATGTCCTCAGTCACTCCATAACCACTGAACACCATTTCATCAAACGTTGAAAGGGGTGGAGTCCCAAAGGCTGAACAAATAATTCATTAGATAATAGCAAGGGAAAATGATTTTCCCCCATTTATTTCATTAACCAAAACTATTGCCTATTATAAAGTTATAAATAGAGGGTGGGAGGGGGAAATGAGATGTTACTGAATGGGTACAAACAACCAGCGAGAAGGAATAAGTTCTAATATTTGATAGCAGATTACAGTGACTACAGTTAATAACAGTGTATTGTGTATTTCAAAGTAGCTACAAGAGAGGACTCGAAATGTTCCCAAGGCATGGAAACAATAAATACCCCAGGGGATGAGTACCCTGATTACACACTCTATGCTTGTAAGTAACAAATACACGTACCCCATACTTGTGTAAAATATCACATATCACTAAAAGAAAACAAGTAGCCCAAATCAACCATTAACATTCAACCATTCATACTACTGACTTTGCTCCATCCAAATATTATAATTTACTTAAACATTTCAAAATAGGAGAAGCTCTCCTGGGTCATTCCAGGGGTTTATATTATGTATACAACCAGTATCCTTAATCCCTAATGGTTACTTTAAGTGTTTGAAGCTATTAAAACAGTTGAAATGTTGGCAATGCTAAATGTGGTTACAGGAACAGTATGGAAACTTGTATTAAACGTTTGATTGTTATGCTTTTTTTTGTGTGTGTGGAGGGAGCTTGGAATAGCGCATTGACACATGGACAACCGCCAGTGACTAGTGTGCAATCAGTGTGAACACGTTTTGATTCAGTAACGAAATGAAGCTGGCCCTCCAGCTGCCATTTTCTAGGCCTGCCACACCAGACACCAGGACTTAACTCCTGCCCACCCATCATTACATTCTCAGATTTCGCATGCATTGTAGAGAAATGTGTAAGAAAGGAAATCGTTTAAAAGCACAATATTACTGTAGACAGACAATGCCCTGAGTGAAATCACATGTGGGACTTCAGACAGGGCCCTAACCCACTAGAGAAAGGAGGCAAGTCACGAACATTTTACAGTTTTATGTGCGAGGTTCGGAAGTTTTGCTCACCATTCAGCGATCTACCTTGTCCATTTTCAACACATGGCAATAATTAGTGCGAGATTGTACTTTTAAATAGACCCAAGAATGCAGATGAATGTAGGTTTATAGCACAGACTCACGTCCATCCAAAATCCTAACAAAAAGCTATTAAAGTGTCAAGCCTTCAACTTTTAATCTTTGTTGTTACCTACACAGACATAATAATATGTGTATCAAGCCGTTTACGCCTATGTAATTAATTGAATTTGGGGATACTCTGCGCATTTTCACAGTGAACTGACATGAATGGTGGGCACGTCAATACTTTTCGGTGACTCAGGCTCAAATGTGATTGTTCAAGGATGCATCCCACTTCGACATTCATGCTGAAGCCAGCAACAATTGTCCGTGACCTTTAACACGCCTGCTCTCCGAATCAGCGCAGATCCTTAGTCACCCAGAGCTTACATTTTAGGACTCCGGATCCTTCATCGCAGAGGTTCTCGCCTGTCTTTCCGCCTGACTCCTCCCGCCCACCCCGACACACGGACACACACACACCCCCCCAGAAACATCACACGTGCAGAATGGCCCCGCGTCCGATCGCCCGCTTTCGGGCACAAGCGCCTCCCTTTGCAGCGCGTCCGGAGTAGTTTCTTTTGTAAACGCCCTAAGTTGGGGAGGGCCGCGGGCTGCCAGGGCGGCGGGAGTGGGGCGCAGAGGGAGACGCCGCCGCGGAGGTAACCGCCGGGATTGCAGCGCTGACTGCCGAGCGGAGCCACGTTGGGCGTCTTGGACAGAATCCACCTCCACTGCGGAGTTATCACGAGGAGAAGGAGAACAATATGGCCAGGAGCCCGGTGGGAGAAGATAGTGTTACCCTCCGCAGGGCAGGCCGCAGCTCCCCGGGTCTACGTCACCGGCGGTGAAGGGGCGCTCGCCCTTGCGCGCTGCGACCCGCCCCTCCCGTCCCCTCCCCTCCCCCGCCCGCGCGCCCTCCCTCCCCTCCCCCGCCCTGTACCAGGAGAGCATTAGGAGTCACATTAGGATTTCTAGTTCCAGACTCAACTTAACGACAACTAACTACTGCCGGTGGGGAGTAGGTGAGATAAGAAATGAAGTTTTAAGAACAGAAAAATAAGAGTTGAACTTTCAAGGCTGCCAGTAAACAGCCCCTTCATTTTTAAATGACCATGTGGCAGAGCCGCTGTTGGAAGTCCTTCCAGCAGGACCTCTGTGACCCTCGATTCAGGACTTAATGTATTGATCCAGCATCTGAACACCCCCAGAGGCGTCTACCAGGAAGTTGGGTGAAACGCACACGCCACGCCGTGTGTCACGCACACGCACCTGGGACCCCTGAAAGGGTGTCCCCGTCTCCGTCCGGGTGGGGCGCAGTGCCCAGGTGCCCGCCGGCGGGACCCGCATCCCGAGTACGTCTGCACGTATGGTTGCGCGTGTGCGCGCGGAAACGGCCTCCGGGAGCCGGAGCTGCGGCAGCCTTAGACCTTGACGGGGGGTGACCACCGGCCGCTGGGATCGCGGTTCGGTGCTATTAGGGGAGGAACCAGCTGTGTCTGAGTCACTGCGAGCCTCCAGACTGTCCCCGCAGTGTGGCAGAACTTTGTGCTGATGAGACAATAGTGGAGTGTGCGTTTCCTACAGGGCAGACCATTCCCGGGCTGGGGGAAGCCTCCGGCCTGAGCCGGGCCGCGGGCGCCCGGCCCACTCCCGGTGCAGCGCAGCCCCCCGAGCCGGGCCGGCGCCGGGGCCCCCGCGGGGCCGACACGTCCGGGGCGCGCGCGGGCAGCGCGGGGAGGGGGCCGGGCGCGTGGCGGGCCCCGCGCGCCCTCGCGCGTCCCCCGCGCCCGGGCGCAGCTGGCGCGGTCGGTCTAGTGCAGCGCTCGGCTCCGCGCCGCGGGCGCTCGGCTTCACCTTCAGATGCGCGGGGCGTGCGCGTCCTGCTCCCTAGGCACGCCGCCTCCCCGCCAAGGTAGGGGCCGCGGGCGGGGGGAGGGCTGCGCCGCAGGGGCAGCGGGCAGGCGGTGGGCGCGGGGCCCGGAGCCTCGACGTGCCCGGGATTCCCGTGTGCGCCGCTGGGGGCGGGTTGGGGGGGGAGGCGCCGGGGAGGGGGTGCGCCGGGGAGGGTCCCCCCGGGCGCGGGGAGGGCTCCTTGGCTTTCCCTGTGGGTAGTTGCTCTGCTCTGCAATTCCAGGATAGGAGAAGATGCAACTTCGGGCGGCGGGGCGAGCGCCCGGGAGGTGGTTTTTACCGCAGTGGAGGGGCGGGGTGGGGGCCGGGGTGGGAGCGCGGAAGAGGCTCTGGCTTTGTACACTTCGTCAAAGGCGACGCGGGAGGAGGGGAGCTCGGATGCGCTCTCCATCCATTAGGAGACAAAGAGCAAATTGCCTTACTTTAAAGTAAAACGCTCCGGCTAATGAAGGTGGGTGATGGGGCTGCGGGCCTGAGGAGCCGCTTCAATTATTAAGGGTTTGGCGGATGGGATCGATGCCTGTGGGCACCGAGCGCTGCTGCCTAGGGGACGCGTTTGCCAGGAGCGGGGGGGGGGGGCTTGTTTTTCGCAGCTCCCTCCCCGGCTGCTTGCCAGTCTGGTGGGAGCTTCTAAGTGACCCTAACGTTCAAGAAGTGAGAGGTCCTGGAAGGGAAGTTCGGGCGGGGGTGGGGGTGGGGGCAAGGGTCTGGCACGGACTCGGAGTGGGGTGGGCAGGGACTCCTGGAAGCTGCGCCCCGCCGGGTGCGGGTGGGGGAGGCCTCGGTGGCGAGATGAACCCGGGTGTATGAAGGAAGAATGCGGTGGGGTGTGTGTGTGGTTGGGCGCGAGGTGGGGGAGGCGCCTCCGCTGCCATTTCCAGGGAGAACTAACAGACTGGATAGTTACGATCAGTATTTAGATTAAACCGCCTCGTCAAGTTTTAAAGAAACTTTGTATGAATAAGTTTGTTACCCGGCAGCCGAGTGGGGTTTTAAAAAGCAGCAGTCGATGGAGGAAGGTTGGTGTGCGCCGAGGAAAGCCAGTGGACCCCCGTAATTAGGAACCAGAGGGAACCAGCCTTTCACCCGAAAAATGTGGGTCTGTAAGTCAGCCCCATCCATTATCAGCGTTAATAAGCTTCCCGCAGCAGCCCGGGATCAGACCGGGAGCTCTGGGGACTGTGTGTGTGTCTTACTCATTCCGCTGATGAAGAGTCACTGGGTCTCCGGGTGTGCAAAGATCAACTTGCGCAGCTTTCTTTTTAAATATATTCATTCTGTGTTTTATTTAATCCAGATGCACAAAAAGCCATTTGCTGCTTCATTGTTGGTTTATATTTTTTTGAAAAGGCGACTGGTGTAACCTGTGGAATTTGAAATGCAAATAAAAGCCTGTGGGAGTAGAGGCAGAACAGATCAGCATTTATAAAGTGGAAAAGATTTAACGTCTTTGAAATCATTGCAGGGGAAGAAACTGGAGGGGGAGTGTGATTTTTCAGGGAGTCAATTGTGACGTCAGGTCTTTTTGGAAAAGATGTTATTTTTAAGGTCTGAAACCCGGGTAGGTAAAGTGCTTACAGGAAAAACAGATTACAAGATTAACATCTGTTAACATGATCGTTTATCTCCAGCCAAAAATAGGTCAGTTCTTTCTTAAGGAAACACGATTGCTGCCGCATGCTTAAATAATAAAATCAAAACGACGAGTTCATAAATTAGGAACGAGTGTTGGTTACAATCTGACCTATGAAAAACATTTTTTAATTTTGAGATCAATGGAAGGTCAAAGTCCCTCTTCGGTGTAGAGAACAACTCTTTCCCCTGCGTCGGCCCCCGGCCCCCCCTCCCCCCGCGGGATGACCCCTCCTTCTTACTCGGAGCTCCCTTTCCGCCTCCACTCCCATCGTTAATTTCCCTTTCCATCCTTTGTGGAAGTACAAAATATATTTAAATGGATATCGTCTGACGCCTCCCTCCTTAAAGAAGGCAAACTCCGCGCAGATGGCTAACTTTCAGAGCTCTGCTGTTGTTTTACCATTAAATGAAACGGTAGGGAGGAGAGGAGAAGGAAAAAAAAAAAAAAAAAAAAAAAAAGGAAACAGCTTTGCGAAGTGTCCCTGCCCCCTGGGCGTGAGTGACGGTTCTGCTGGCCAATCCGCTGCGGCTTTCTCCATCCCGGAGGTAATTTGGGGTGTGAGTGTGTGTGAGCGCGCGCGCGCGCGTGCATGAGCCCATGTGTCTGCACACTGAAGTCTGGCCAGCCCTGAGCATCCGCAGGCTTCTGCATTTGCACAGATGTGTGATGTAGACGTGGACACGCTTTTACTCGAGTCGGTTCGGCTACATGGGCACGCAGCAGTCCCCACCGAGCGCCTCCCCCTCCGAACCTCCTGTGGAGCATGGGATTTAGAAGCACTTTCGGATTCAGGTCGGAACCTGCAGCAGCAGGGGAAGAAAAGAGGAGCGCTGTGATTGTTTCTCAGCAACTGGGGACTGGAAACGTGCGGTTTCTTTGGCCTCGCCCCCGGTGGGCGCGCCCTGGTGCGTTTGCCGTCCAGGTGATGGAGCCCACTGGCCTGGGCAAAGCGAACGGAGAACGCGGATTGCGGAAACCGATGTGAACTCCGCAGAAAAGTGAAGGGCAGCGTGTGTCTTCCAACTTCACATTTTATTTTCTGCCTGGGAGTTGATGCTTAGTCCCTGGCAGATTCTAGAAGGTGAAGCGCTCGTGGCCAGTGAAAGTTCGGCTGCCTACCCACCTCCTGGACGTTGCGCCCTGGCCGCGCCTGTCCCGCACAATGGGCGTCTTCACGGGCAGAGCGCGTCACCGGCCACCCCACGCTTGCAGCTGACTGACTGTGGCACCGACTTTCCCAGGAATATCGGGAGTGATGTGTGTGGCTCGCGTAGTACGCACCTCGGGAAGCGTACGGACCCGACCTGAGCCGAGCAGCATCTCTGCGTAAACGTTGGAGACGCGGTGTCTTCCGGGAGCACCGCGGGCTGGCTGCGCCTGTCTACCCACCGGGATGGGGATGATGCAATGGAGGGGTTAAGGACCCACGTGCCCACTCCCTCCCCGGAGACCCCTGCAGGGAGACCCCTGGGAGGGACCTCGTCCACTCGCGGGTGTGCCCGGCCACCAGGCCGCACCGAGGTCACCCGAGGGTCCGTGGGCGACCTTCGTCCTCCCCTTCTGCAAGAACCAAAGTCGGTTACAAGGTAGTGTCCGATCCCGCGCCTTCCCTCCCACTCGGGCCATTTCCGCCCCCCCGACCCGAGTTCCACCCGATTCTGCCCCTCCCCAGGCTCAGGGGCTGGGGCAACCCGGACTGGGCAGCCCCAGGAGGTGTCGTTGGATTAAATCATTCCTATTTCGGTGTGTCTGAGCTGCAGCGGCGCTGGGCCTGGGGCGCCACTGGGGGGCCTGGGGTGCGCGTGGCCAGGGGCCGGGGGCGGGAGCGCGGGGCGGCCCTGTGGGCTGGGGGCGGTCCGGGGGCGGTCCGGGGGCGGGGGGACGCACCTGCCCGCCCCGGGGTGGGGGGCGGCGGCCGCTTGTTGCTGGGCTGCCGGGAGGAGGGCTGTGGGCGGGGCGGGAAGGGGCGGAGAAGCGCGGGGAGGGCCTGGCCCGCCGCCCGTCCCCCGCCCCCCGCCCCCCGCCCCCGTCATGTGGAGTGGACGTCACACGCCTTCACTGTAAGCCAAGAAGTGAAAGAGACGGAGACCCACAGCCCAACTTCGCACCACAACAAAGGCGGGGGTCTGTGCGGGCCGGGGGGCGGGGGCGAGCGGGGCGGGCGGTGGGAGCCGGCGGGGGCGGGAGCAGGCCCGGGAGGAGGAGAGAGGGGGCTGCGGGGGAAGGGCAGGCCGCGGGGTAGGGGAGTCGGCGGATGAGGGTGCGGAGGGCCGGGGCCGGGGCCGGGGCCGGGGAGGGGGCGGGGCCGGTCCGGAACTGGGCTCTGCGCGGGGCTCCGGGCCGGGCCCGGCCGGGCGGGGGGCCTGCGCGGCAGCGTGGACCGGGCTCCCGGGGCCGAGGCGCGGCGGAGGCCAGGTAATTGGTTTCTATTTTAAACTTCACTTTGTTCTGGCGGAGGTGGGGCGGTGGAAAAGGCGTGGCCCAGAGGACGATTACATAAGTGTTCACACCTGAGCAGGTCCTGCGCCCGCGAGCGGATTTGGGGTGGGAGTTGGCGGTGGGCACCCGGGCTCGGGGCGCCTTGCGGGGGGTTGCTGCGTGCAGGTTTTGTGTCCTGCCTGTGTGACCTCACAGTGTCTCGGCGGCAGAGAGGCCGGGATGGCTCTGTGGACTGCTTTTCGGAAGGCCAGATGTGCCCGTGGGCCTTGGGCTGGCCTTCCAGGGGTGTCCCCGGCGTAACAAAGGACGGAGCCCTGGGACTCTCCCGTCCACTCGCTGTGCTGACTTAGCCAGCAAGTCACAAAAGGAACTTTAGTGGGGGATCCTACTTACACATACAGCAGAAGGGCATTTCCCTGTCCACATGCCATGCAGCCTCAAATCGTGATTGAAGGTGATTTAAAAGCTGAGTGATGTATGTTCACCATGTGGCTATAGAGTAAATACTATTAAGATAATGACCGGAGGAGATGCAAGGGTGGCTAGCCTCTCGAAAGAAGCTTTCTCAGCTTATTTTAAAAAAACACCCTATTAATATGATTGAAGTATTTTGGGTTAGGGATGTGTTACTTTAAAGAGCTAGGCGTGCATGCTATTTGATCGGCTACTACCATGTAAAATAAAATGAGCTGATTTTATCATTTGTTTGTTCCAGCTTCATTTTCACTTGCATTCTTTGATTATGTCGTCAAGTAAGTGTTATTTATATTTACACAGACCAGCTAGAATTAAATATTCCACATAGCACTACTGTGCTGGGTCTGAGAACCCCTTACCCCCTAGAGAGATGTCGCTCTGGAGCCTGCCATGGTGTCAGGGGTTTGAGAGTTGGGTTACTTGTAGGAGGACATCTTTAGTTTCACGGGAGTGACCCCCATGGCCATCTTGAATGGGTTCCGGGATGAACTGAACTCTGCGTAAGACTCACAAGTATTTTGGTAATTGAATTTGAATTCTGATGTGTTAAGGTACAAGCATGTTTAATGTTTTTCTTAATTCATTAGTATGGCTTTGTTTTCTTACACTTGCTAATTTGAATATACTGAAACAATCAGAGCACATTAACCTTCTAAAAAAAATAATCCCAGTGGATCTGTAATAAAACTAACCAAGAGGAATGGGAGTGCCTTTCTGAAATGAAACACAACACCAAAATAGCAGGTTTAGTACAGCTTTCAACAATGCAGAGAGATGGGAGTTCTGCTTATTTTTATTTCTGAAAGCTGCTGTTTATTAGAATAATCTTTCCAAATAGCTTAATTTTCTGAAATACACTAGGTCAAGAATTTTAACTTTGAGAGATGTGTCTGCTATTAATTGTTGCCGTCCTGAGAATAAATTACCTCACCAATGTTTTCCCATTGTTATTTGTAAACAACCTTCAGAGTCGACTCATTTAGAGGTTTCATTTATTCCTGGAACCCTGAAGACCTACATTTCTAACTTTTATTTATTTATTTTTTTGTAAGATGTTGTCCCAGAGACCAAAATTGACTGAAGGGAATGAGAGAGGTCTTTGAAAACAGGTCACAATGTGAAAAGCACTTTGTCTCCACTTTCAGAAATGAAACTTTTAACTCCATTTACCTAACTTCCTTTTACAAGGAGATATTTGAGTTTTATAAGTGAAGCATTTGATGTGATTAAGTTTAGCAACATACATGAAAAAGAAAAGGAGACTTCTTTAAAGAGTACTTTGAAATGAGGTATATTCCAACAGATGGTTTTCAGTCTTGCCAAATGGGGAAAAATGATAGTATGACCTAGCAATTTACGTCGAGTTTAGTTATGGATGATTCTTGAAAAACCAGTACTCAGTTTATTGGGTTGTTGTGGATTTTTAATTATCTGCTTTCCAGAATACGTATTGGTCTTATTCATAATTGAAGAGAAGGAATCTTTCAAAAAGAATTCGGTGGGAGTGGCTGTAAGTCTGACTGGAGACTGTGTTTAGAGTTTCAGCTGCATTATACCTTAATGCCGGAGAGATAGGAGGCTGAAATACAAGCTGACTGCATCGTGCAGCAGGGAGCTTGTCCAAACGTGTGCACTTTCCTGTATAATATGCTCGTTTGAATGTTCACGACCCGAATTATTCTGTTTTTTACTCCATTTTCAATAGAGGAGAAAAGGGCATGTGTTAATTACCTAATTAAAAGTGGTATTTCGCGTATTACTAGATTTCTAACTGAAGAAAGAATTGCTATTAAATGTTCAGGAAACACGTATACACTTTCTCTTTGGTTTTCCAGTGGCCACATTTAACTGGGGACGTGGATTTGATGGTTAGTAATAGAATTCTAATGGAAGAAAGTTAAATTGATTTGATTAGGTATCTGCATTATAAATGTTTGAACTTTGAGGTAACATTTCTTCTTCAAAAGCAGACATCTTTCATGCTGTAAATGTTTATACATTTTAGTGCTTGGATAAAGCTATTCTGACACACTCAATTAGTTCTTTCAAAAATGCATCTCTTTGCTGTCCCGACCCCTCCTCCTCGAAAGTTCTAGAAGCTGTGGGAAAAGTTCAGTTGCCTGTCTTACTGAACGTAGTCCAAGGAATACCCGTGGGTTTGTTCACTGCTCGGAGAGCTGGACTTGTGCCGCACCGACTTCCTCAGCACATCCTTGCTTCCCTGAATTTGCATTTACTGCCTAACTAGCATCCCGCAAAAAGGCCTTTGCTGGCTGCCTGTGATTGGCACCGTGGAGCTTCCTTTGCAGCGCTGTTAATGGCTAAATGTGAAGAACTAATTTTATTACTGTGTTTAGCTCACAGGGCCTTGGAACCGGCCCCTACTCTGTTGTTGGGAGCTGCATCTCATTTAGATTTGCGTGTTTCAAGTGAATTGTAGTGTCAGGCCGTGCTTCCCTTGTGAGGTCTTGGGTGGGTGGTGGTTGGAATACCTCTCCCTGTGTGTGAGAGGCACGGGGTGGGTCGGGGGTGGATGTGGAGGTTCTCAGAGGCAGATGGAGGTGGGGGCACAAGCCTCTGTTTGTGCAGCAGTGATTATTTGGTGGTTCAGCTGTTTGGTTCGGTTCCCTTTGGGCGGGATGGTAACTGGTGGCATGAGCTGGCGGTGTAACTGTTCCCTTCACCCTCCCCTCCTGGGGCTCTCATCCCCAGTCTTTCCACCTGACTGGCCAAAAGGGTAGTGGCAGCAGCCTGTTACTGGTTTGAATGGATCTAGGGGCCATAGGGGAGAGAGCATTTTTCGGATTCAAGTCCTGGCCTTAGTTCTCTCTGGCCCTAGTGAGTTTGGGAGTGCAGGACATTCTCTTTGATGGAGGAGTGACCTTTGCCCTCAGTTAAGACCGCCCTCCCACCCACCATTGGACAAGAACTGTCGAAATCTGAACATTTTCAGGAATTCTAAAAAGTCACAAACCCATTTGAAGAAAATAATCACATCAAATGTTTTACATTTATGAATAATAAAATTAATCTTGGAGGAGGAGGAATAAAGAAAAACTATGACTTTAGAATATCTCCTTCTGTAAAAAGCTCTTTATTATAAATTTAATTTTCTAACAGTGAAGAATATTTTAGGGCAATGATTTCAAAAGCTGTAAGGAAAGATACACTCACAGGGGCTATCAGTGCATCATTTGTATTTGCGATTTCTAGTGTCCACTAACGCGTGTGAAGGGTATTTTAGATGGACTGGTAAAAGCCAGCAGTTGCAACTGTCTGCTCTGCATTCCAGACGCTCTGCATCTGGCCACACGTGACTTGAACAGCTGAAGCTTCTTTTTCCAAAGCTAGAGCCATCATCGTATTTATGTCTAGCATGAGATGTTTTCCATATACATTCGAATTGTAAAGAAGTGTAATTGGTGGCTCTCAACATGCCTTAAAAGTCATTTCCAAAAAAGATCTGGCATTTAATCTTTAATTCACATGGTCCTGAAAATTACAAAGCAGGAGTAATTAGAAAGGGAGCTATTTTTAGAAGGCAAACATGTAAATACATGGTAAGTAATAACTAAAACACAAGCAGGAGAGTAGGACAAAACTATTTTAAAAGCAACTGTAGTAGGATTAGATACATTTTACCATATACTGTATTTCAGCTCTGTTGATT